TCCATGGGCGGCGGTTTTCACTTAACATCAGGTGAACCCTCTGCTGGCTTGGCCACTATTCACATTTAAAAAAAATAGTAACAGGAATAAAGGCTGACCTAAAGACTCATTATTGGTTCGACTGTTATTGTTATCATCTATGGAAGGTCAAATGTGAAACGAACACGAACTGTTTCCACGATATCAAACATCAGGATAGGAGCACAATGAGACCTGTAAGGCGGCATTTGGAGCTAACTCTCCCCGCTAGAAGTTTTGTTCACAACGCTGGAATAAATACGAGGCGGGTGTCTATATCTTATATTATTTCTTCAGATAGGAAATAGCTACATATGTAAAAAAGACTTGAAATTATATAGGCTTTGATATTTTATTACTTTAGTTGGCGATCTAAGATGTGGTATGAATTTTCTCTGCACGAGCGGATAAATTTATTGCAAATAGCTTTTCGAATAAAGGTGTGCCAGAACGTTTGCTAATGCGCTAGCGGTATTTCAATAGAAACCAGATTGTGTATTATATACCGCATTTGATTTTCATCTGAAGTGATAATGTGACTATTTATATTCAGCTGTAACTTAATTTGATTAAGCAATTTGACTTTAGTCAGCGTTACCGGTAAAGTTTCCAAAAAATTTAGTGAGGGTTAAAAAATATTTAATTTAAAAGCAGTAGTACTATTATAAGTAGGGGAAGATTTGCACCATTCGTACACTTTTTAGATTTTGATTTTTAAAAAATCTGATATCAAAGATAAATCGTTTAATCTGTTATTATAACAAATTACACACATTCAGCTTCCTAATAAAAATTTATGGAATCATTATTTCTTCAAATAAATGAATGAAATGAATTTTAATAAAAGATGACAAATGTCCGAATCTACCCCACTATAGGGGTACATTCGTACGTTGGTAGGGGCACATTCGGACGATAGGTTGGTAGGTAGGTACAAGTTAAATAAAATAGCAAATCAAGTATAAAAACTTATATTAATTGACATTAAAAATAGGAACGATGTAATAAACTACATGACAAAACTTTTATCAACAAAATATATTAATTTCTTAGAAAAATAAATCAATAAGTATAAAAAACACAACATATTGTAGACTGCACTAATTTTTAATCCGGATCAGTCAATCAGAGATAAATATTCTAGTTATTTGATGATCAGACATAAGTTGAAGATAAACTATAACTACTTAAACATATCTTTCATACACAGTTTTCCAATTATCGTAAAACTCATATACGATAATTTTATTGAAAGTAAAAATCTAGCAGCACTCGATTTTTCGGGTTTTCTTTAACTTAAACTACTATACCTCTTCCAAAATCCAGTCTATACCAACCCTTCCAGTTTTATCTCATTTTGGCGGATATGTACATTTCAGAGCTTTAGCATAATCATATGCCAGCTTTCTGACGTGTAATATTGTGAGCCTGTAATGCATTTTTGTGCTTTTTTCTATATATTCGTTTAATTGGGTACTCTTAATGTTATTTTCATCCGCAGCTTTTCTGTAAGATATTTTTTTTCCAAATCATCTTTTACTGCCGAGGACATATTTTCTTCATGTATTAATGTAGACATAGTCTCTTTTTTTCTTGTAATTTCGCACCATTTTTGCGTATTTTCTGAAATAAAAAAAAAACCTGTTAATAGATGTGGGTATATACCAAGCTGTTAGAGGGCACATTCGTACGCGTACGAATGTGCCCATCATGCAGGCGTACGAATCTGCCCCGAAGGTAAAAAACGAAAGATTTTTACCCACACACAAATCATTTATAAAAAACAACAAAAAAGATACATTATTTCTTTCGTGATCGTAGTTACTTACCAATTAGCAATAATCGAATAGAATTTATCACTTCACATAATAAAGAAACACCCGAAAACATCGACAAGATATTTACGCTGAGTGTGCAAAAACACATTACATACTCTAGCATTACTCGCAATGGCCGCACTGGCGGCTAACTTCGTTGACAACTGACGGCCGCCCCAGCATACTCCCACACCCAAAGCTGGAATAAATACGTCGTTCTAACAGGCGGTTATAGTGACTGTATGAAGCTTCCCCGTGTACGAATGGTGCCAATCTTCCCCTACATATGTAATAGTTTGAATCGATAGTTTTTCTTTTTAAAAATAAAAATAGAATAGTTCTTTTTTTTTTCCTTTTTTATTGTGAAATAAATATTGTAATACTATACGTACTTATTTACGTTATCAGAAACATACATTTGAATATAGGTATATCGAAAAACTTAAGTTATTTTCAAAAATCAATCACTGGTAATAAAAGTAACTTTGGTACAAAAGTAAATTAAAAGCATTTAATTAGAGCCAATATACGCTACATGTCTCTTTTATTATATCACAATATGAAACATATGTTCCTTACATTTATGTAAATTTTAAACGAATCAAAAGCCCGCGGAACCGTCACCTTAACAAAAATAAAAGTAAATCTGCTTTTAAAACCCCAAAATAATTACAATTTCCGCGAAAAAATTCATTAAAAGGAGAGATATTTTAACATTATTAAAGACACGTACATACATAGCACGTGAGAGGGTTTCGTATAAAACGTCGCAACCTGTCATCTAAGTAATTTAAAATATTCACAGCGCGTATCACATGTTTTTAATGAAAATAAACTTTCATATTCAATGAATCGGTACATAAATATTTAGAACTTGATTCAAATCGTAAATTAACGAAGCACTTAATTACTAATGACGAGGTGGGCCTCTGTTATATTATCCTCTGAATAATTAATCCAATATTATCTATCTTGACTGTACTTAAAATGACGATGAAATCATATACCAAAGATATTATAATTTAATTATTATTTTTATTTTTAATTTGCGTAAAGACTAGGTTCAAAATAAAATATTTTTTAATATTTCTAGAATTGTTCAACTCGTAAAGTAAGTCTAAAAAAGTGTTATAGATTTTGTACAGCAAGTAAAGTAACAGCCTATGAATATCCCACGCCTGGGCAAAAGCAACCTCTGTAAAGAGGAGTATCAGTGCACCACACCACCCTACTGCGGATTGGATCTTTAACCCGAATGTAGGCTAGGCAGATAGTGCAAAATATAGATGTTATAAGTTACCACGCAATCTAGTTAAAAGTTATCTATGATAACTTTAACCTTATATTGCCTTACCTTGTATATGTCTTCACCACTATTATATGAAGCCACCGTTTGCCTTTGAAATTAATAGTACATGTTATGGATAATGTACGGTAAAGCAAAATGTACTATGTAGTAAGTACATCATTTATTCGTTTTTAAACCATTCATTATTATCGATGGCCGGTCATTAAACGCTGCCTACTCGTAAAAAAAAGGAAAAAGAGTTGTTTTTTATACATTTCCATGACTGTAATTTTCTATTCAAATTCTCAACGTACAAAATGAATTCCTGTTCTCCTATTATCCAACTGCATGAAAATAAATGGCTGCAATAAAACCTTATAGGTTTTTCTTCCTGAAGAAATAAGCAATCACGTCTTTGTTGCGATATATGTTCAGTGTTCTACAAGAGTTATTTCCGTCTTTTCGAAATTACTTCAGAATTTTACTACACTTAAATTACTTGAAATATTTTACATTTAATTGTATTAATGTACTTTATCCTGAAATACATTTCTGTTCTTCGCTTTCATGTGTTTATGTCATAATCTGTCATAATAAAAATATCCGGGTTTTTAGGAGGCCGACGAACGATTGGAAATACAAACGTATATACGTATGTAGAAAATAACTGTGGTAGGGCCACGCAGCAGTCTTCGCTGTTGCACAAATGGGCAGCTCCGAAATGTACCAGTAACTCATAAAAGATCGGCGTGAAATGGAAGTGTTATACTTCTGCCTTTCTTCTGATGAATAACGTGCCTGGGACCCACTTTCTTGAAAGGTAGCAACGTCTTTGCATCCCAAGTAGAGTAAAAATTAAAATAAACCGTACTTAACTAAATTCTAATTTTACAATTTTATAATTTAAGAGAGCCCATTAATATCACCATAATGAGAAATGCAAAAAATATATTTTGCTGTCACATTGCCATACAATATGTAACGGTTAAAAATAAGTCTGTTATAAATAACTCCGAAACAGTTTTTTTTTTAATATATAACTAGCACTTCGCCCGCTACTTCGTCCGGGAACATTGTGATAGCTTAGTTTGCATGATATAAATATATTTTAGTTCCCGTTCCCGTAAGAATACGGAGAGTAAAATAAAGCTTATGTTCGCTGATGAAATATAATGTATAATGTAGCTTTATTACCATTATTGAAAACATTTTTAAAAATGGGTCCGGTAGTTTTTGAGTTTATTTCGATTTGGATGGAAGTTTGTTGAGCATAGTCTACTTGTGATTCGTACTTAAAAGCCAATCTGTTATTGTTAGAAATCAAAACTTTTAAGGTGCTAATCTCTGCACTTAAGATTAAACATTGAAATTTGCAAAGTTTTTCGCCACTGTGGGAATCGGACCCACGGCTTTGGGATTCGCGCCGTGACTAGCCCCTAAGCTAAACGGCCGATTGCCACACCGACTAAAATTTCAACTACATTGTTTTTTTTTTAGCATTAGAAGAATTGCTTGACCCATCCATTGTTATGTCCTTTTCCAGCACACAAATAATTTAGAATATCGTTTTACAACCAGAGAAGTCGCCATTGCCTTTTAAAAAAATATTTTTTTATACTACTAACCTCTGCACTTAAGATTAAACATTAAAATTTGTAGAAAAAAATACGAAAAATTTTTCGCCGTTGTTAACTACTAAGCTAAACGGCTGATTGCCACACCGATGAATCTTAACGTCTTTAATCTACATTCCTTTTTTTTAGCATTTGAAGTAATGCTTGTGTTATTGTTAGCTAAAATTCATTCGCGAATTCTAAGTATTTATTGTTTCTTGCTGTATTTCTCCCTGCGCTCTAAGTCACTCGGAGTGTTCTTTAGTCAATTCCTTGCACGAGTTCGCCTATTTCTTTTTTGTTCTTCGAGCCGCTATAAACGTTGAGTACTCGATCGTCGTGCATGTCGCATTGTACCATGGACTTTCTAGAATTTTGATCAGAGACGCTGCGACCGCTCGATACTCGACTCACGAGCAAGTAACGGAGAGATTCTAGTATTCTGCTCAGAAAGACGCTGCGAATGCTCGATACATGCCTCTCGTACACGTCACTGAAAAGTTCTAGCATTCTGTTCAGAGAGGCTGCGAACACTCGATACTCGATTCACATGCCTGCAAAGTTCGCAGATTTTGTTCAGCAGGACGCGACTTACGACGCGTACTTTTTTTCATTTGCTAGGCGGTTGTTGTACTCTCCTACACGACGCGTTGTCTGTCCAATGCGACATGCGACCGCTACGTACCCATCATAGACGTAAAGTCCCCTCCCGCGGCTTGTAAAGTATTGTTGATATCCATGCGTGGCAGTTTCTTCCTCATCGCTTATCAGATTGCCACTTCAGCTTACAATTTCTCTTAGCTACGTCGAATCACGATCTTTTTTCTCCTGCGGCTGTCTTCAGTGCGTGCTCCGAGAAATACTCAGCACAGACCGCTCTTGAGCTCGCCGAGGGACTGAATCTGTACATTGGGCACATCATCCAATTTTATAAAATTATGTAAATGTTTTATGTATATTTTTCTGATATTCGTATAAAACATATTTTAGAACTTTATTTTAAAAAGGGTCACCAGGATTTTTTTTCTATAAATGCTGTGTTGCAATATGTATTTAAAACAAAGAACTCATTAAGGGCGCAACGCTACTATATTGACGAAACATATTTTCTTACTTTGTTTTTATTAGAATCATTGGTTCTATTGTTTTAGGATTATTCTTGCGGAAAAAAACAAACGACCAAACAGCTTAATACGAGTAGTAAGAGATCACCTCAAATCTGAATCCCGGTATTGTATATCAAAGAGTTTTTTTAATCTTTCGAACTAAAGAAATATTTTAGCAAAATATATATTTTCAAGTTATACTTCTTTTGGCGCGTTAGGGGAAAATGATGAGAGTACATTTTTACGATGCGCGCGCACACCATCACGAAAAACCGACGACCCTGAACTTAGCTAGACATCAACGTACGTTTGCGTGAGAACTGACAACTGTATTCACGATATTTAAACAAACTTTATTTAACTTTTTTTTATATGAAAAGTTGCCAAACGTGTAGACAGTTCACCTGATGGTAAGTGAATACCGCCGCCCATTGACATCTGCTACACCCGAGGGTTATAGATGCGTTGACAACCTTTTGAAAATTAGGCTCCGGCTACCTCACTCACCAGACGAAACGCGAAAGTATTTGTCCTACTTCCACTTTACACTGGTCTTCTGTGAGATTGTGGTACTCATCCGGAGGGGCCTGCCCATTCGTGCAACAGCCGAGGCTGCGGCGTAGCCCTACCACCGCATAACTAGATAATGCGTAATAATAAAACTTTAAATGTATTAAATACCTTTTTTCTATTGTTAGTGTCGATTTTTCTACAAACGTAGAATAAGGCGAAAGATAAAATTTTTGAAAAGATAAGTATAACTTTTATCGCGTGTACATAAATACACACACACTTTTTTATTGAAAATATATTTTATGCATATTTTCAATTGAATAACAAGGAAGTATGTAGCTCTCCGTACATTTAAGCACACATAATAACGACTTATTCAAAAATCCTTGAGTAATAAAATTATTCCGTGCCAAATTTGGTTCGTGCTCGATTTGCTTCATTTAAATGGCAACGTTGTCATTTCAGGCGTATATAGAAATATGCATTTCGTACGATGCTCGTGAAATCAGTGAAAATTAATATTTTTCGTTCAATCGGTTACTATTTATCAGACACACGGTCCGCCTTTGTATTACTTTTCGAATAATACCAGCGTAAGTAGTACATAGGAACGTAATATTATGATTGATGGAGATGCAACAGGTTAATTGACATTAAATTTTAATGAAATGTGCCAAAGTTATCGTTTATGAAAATTAAAGCAATTCCTTTTTAATTAATTAAATTTTGGTACTCACAAGTTTTTGCGAAAAGCTAAATTTATCTATATGTATATTTTTATCGTTACCTTGATTTTTCTACACCTAATAGGGACTGTAGACCTCAGTATCTGGTATAAACTTCCACTTGCAAGGTCTACCCGTTTCTGGCAAAATTGGGGGTGACACAGGGACAGACAGACGGACAAGAGTGACGTGAAGAGGAAAAGTGATCTTATAAAATAATTTTTAACAAAAAAAACCGACTTCAAACAGGAAACTAAACGGTAAAAAATAAATTTACTTAGCACAAAATAATTCCTATTTTTATTTAGTTACTTAGAAATTATTAAATAATCATTTTATAATTTTCATATCAAATGTAGCTCGGTCGGTAATCGGGTGGCCCCGAAACAGAAAGCCGCGACACTATCATTTTACTATATTCTCTCATTTATACCAGATCATTGCTTTCTTTATTTTTTATTTTTTTTTATTTCCAAAATACACAATCCTCCAGATACTATATATGTAATACACGAGTTTTATGTGATTGATATATCAGAAGAGATTAAGACTTTACTAAGATTAATGCTTTGAAGTTCGTATCTAAAGATATTAAAATGTAAGGACATTGTCAGTACAGATAGTTCGCGGATTCCTGCTTTTAAAGCCAAATTAGACTCTTAAAGCCGTCAAGATCAAGTTGAGGACCATTCTGTTCCAAAAAAAAACTTTCCGTTTTTTGCTTACTCATTATTTTTGCACGCATAAAACAATAAATAGTAAAAAGGTCTTGTTGGGAATTCCGTGAAGAACAAATGCCACAGACATATTCAGTTTGACGCGGGTTCTTTGTTAAAATTCCCATATCGTTCATTTTTGCTGGGCGTTTGCATACGCGGCATCTAGGCTATTCGTTATTATTTAATATATCAAACGGTACCGAACGTGACTGAGGCATTGGAACCCGGAACGCGTGACCAAAATATCATAGTGTTTTGTAATGGGTTCCATCAACGATTTCTTATCACAAACAGCGGATGATTAATCTTTTAGTTTTAAACTTTATCCTATGGCAAAGTGCTTATAAAACGTAAATAAAATGCAGAAATACAAAATATTCGTAGTAAAGGAAACAATGTACAGTCAGGGGCACCAGCGGTGATGGGCGAAAATCGCTTGGACATTTCGTACTCCTTGAGACAAGGACGCGGAAACAATAGGCAATAGGATGCAGCTTCTAAATGTGTTTGCGCAAAAAAAAATGGTCAGTGCGATAACAATAGAGTTTCAAAAAGAATGACTGTGGCTAATATTTTGTTTAACATTTTTTCTGAACGATATAAACCATCAGAAGCAAAATAAATATTTTAGAAAACTTATTATTGTGTTAAATATTGTGGAAACATTACCAGATGGTTAAAATAAAAAAATGTTACGCATTTTATCGCGTTCATTTAATGTTTTTATTTGCGTGAAAGACTAACAAACTTCCATCCATACACATAAAAACTTTCGCCTTTATAATATTAGTAAGAATATTAAACGATCGCGAACGTTGCTATAGCGACGAGTAACATGACTGACATATCACAATGGTTCCATCAGTAAAGGCTTCCATCCACATTTTTTTATCTCGGAAACAAAGGTTGAATAATCTATAATTAAAGAAATAATTAATAAATAAAAATAATAAAGTAATTAAATAAAGTAAATTGATATATCACGGCAATTTTCTTAGAAAAAGATCTCTATTTTGGAATCTTCATTGCAAAATCATTACAGTTAAAAAAACATAAATTATGTTGATATAATATTGTTATTGTCTTTTGAAGCTTTACGGTGGTAGGGCCACGCAGCAGCCTCGGCTGTTGAACGAATGGGCAGGCCCGTCCGGGTAAGTACCACAACCTCACAGAAGACCAGCGTAAAGTGGAAGTATGACAAATACTTTCGCGTTTCATCTGGTGAGTGAGGTAGCCGGAGCCCAATTTTAAAATGGTTGTCAACGCATCTGTAACCCTCGGGTGTAGCAGATGTCCATGGGCGGCGGTATTCACTTACCATCAGGTGAACCGTCTGCTTGTTTGGCAACTTTTCACATAAAAAAAAACTATAAAGCGTTCGAAGCGTTGAAAGTAATAGATATAAGTAATATAACATTTTGCAAATCGAGTAATATTTTTACATTCTTTCTATTTCCTGATGTTTATGTGATATTTTAAGCATATTTATAATTATTGTACTCCTAATATCAAATGTGAGAGGCAATGTAATGCAGTTAAATAAGTTACTTGAATTCGCTATATACCACCGTGTAATATATATAATAACGACGGTACAAAAAACTGGCATTTAATTACTTAAAAGATCTCAGGAAGCGTTAAATATCTGAAGCAATTTCTTTGATTCACTTAGTAAGTAATTTAATCGTGATTTTCTCTAAAACGTTTTGCAAGAAATACTTAGATAGCAATTTTGTATTAAATACATAAAATTGTGGGAATTTAAAACGTAAGAAATAAACTTGTACTTACATCAACCACTTACACTATGTTTAGAGTACCTACTGTTTGCGGCCATAAACCTCATAACTATCCTTGGCTTATAAAATCTGAAAAGCTTAAAATAACAAAGGAAATCTTAACTACTTAAAGGTAAAATTCGACAGATGATAGATTTTTTCTTTCTTTCAGGTCTTTGTAATACTACTCACATTATGTACCAATTTTATTTATTTGAAAATTACCTTTAGCGTTCCGTGTGTGTAACGTGTTTTTTAAGTAAGCAACAATTGGACTATGTAGTCTTTTGAAGAACTTCCTATAAAATTCCAATATTGAAAACAACAGTCCATTTTAACTTATATGAATATTTATAAGGAAGAATCATTAAAATTATTTATACTTTGTCTAGTTACTTTAAATGTAAACATCAAACGTCAACAAAATCTGTTGGTAACTATAAATGTTTATTAATAATGTTCTGTAAAAAAAATAAACACATACAAAGAAATATGGTTGTCCTCTCTGTTTGCAATGTCGAAACCAGTTTTTCATACTTTATGCATATGTCTATTTACACACTCCTTATAACAAAAGTCAGTTTGTATGCGAAATGGCTGGACCTATCTTAACAGGGCCTTTACTGGATAACAATAACACAAGATTTTTTTATATGATGGAAAATC